TTCCCTCAGGAGTTGGATCTCCCGCCTGATTCTCCATTTGTCCAGGCGCAGTCTCTCTCTCGTCTGCTCCGGTGCATTTTCTATCGCTCTTACTACTGATACCGTTTGAAAACTAGGTTTGCAGGTTCAAACCCATCATGAATCCCAACTCCCGCCACCATGACGACGTTGCTCCCCGTGGAATTTTACTCGGAGGATGTTGCGCCTTTCACAATTGCAGCAAGGACGGGTTCTTGGTTTGGGTGTAGCGAGCAATGCTCGGGGTATGCTGAAACTCCAACTGTCAGGTGTGCATTTTAAAGTAGCAGCATCCGGAGGATTCACGGACGCGGCATCTTGAGCAAGAAGATGCAGTGTGGGATCTGAGCTTCTAGTGATGGAGATGCAGCACAGTGTGCTGCTGCACATTACTCTGGCTTCAGGGAATCCATGTTTATGAGGAGGTAGCGTCTTCGTTACAGTGATTGAAAACTGTTCACCAAATTTCTTGCACTGATTGTAGGCTAGTTGTGCAGAGGTCACCATTTTCAGTCTCTAAAGGACATATTTATCTTTGCCATGCATTTCTCATCTTCACCATAGTACGCAGTAACAGATGCTTACAACAAAAAGCTTTTAAAATTATAATAAATATGTTCATTTTTTTCAAACGTAATAGAATACAAGTAGGTCATATGTTTGTTTTGTTCTACAAACCAATGTAAGATTAGGTTTACAACAATATTGAGTGCTAGACAACGTTAATTCCAAGAGTGAGCATCTTTTGCATTACCTAGTGCTCAAATTGAATATATCTATTCAATAATAAATAAATAAATAAAACTGAATATTATGTTTTTTATTTTTAAAAAATTGCATATAAAAAATATTTAAAAAATAATAAATACTCAAGTCACATGACAAAATTAGAATTGTGTGAACCAAGATATGTTATTTGCAAAAAATACAAAATTCAGAAGCAATACTCTCATTCAGGAGGCTCATACTTTTACTTTGGTTAAAGTCGCTTTCACTCATTCAGCTTCTTTAAAAGTTCATGAAATTTTGCTCTTGTAAAAATAATAATGATAATAAATATAATTAATAAATAAATAATGCACAATTTTTTTCAAATAAAATAATTAAAATTTAATCAGATAACATTTTCTAAGTTATGTTAAGAAAGATAAATACTACTGTAAAAAAACCAATTTGAAATCTGAAACAAATTGACAGCTTGATGTTTAAAATATGACTTATGTTGACAGGAATCAAGGGTCTATATTTATTTATTTATCTATATACTTTTCAATTAAGAATATCTTATCTTCATTCTATTAACACAACTTTCTTATAGAGGTTTCTTAAATTGTTGTAGTTCCAAATAACAATTTCAATTGTAATCCATAATTTAAACAAAGTTTTTGCAAGTATTGTTTATATTTTAAAGGATGATCTTTAAAATTGAATAGAATTTTTGAAGTATAAATTTACTATATGTAGTTTTAAAAAAAGCAGCTGTGTGTGTACTGTGTGAATATATATATATATATATATATACTTTTACAAAAAATCGATAATGTTTTCGGTATAATATTTAAAGTTAAATTTTTAATCAAACTTTTGTGTTTCATATTATTTAATTACGAGAAGATTTGCAAAAAAACAAGTCTGAAAGGCATGTAATGTTTACATAATAAGTGCCCTTTTTCCATGGAGCTTTTGGATGAATTATATTGTGTTTCGTCATGTGAAACATGCATTACAGTACCCTCTTCCACCCCACAAATGCTAGCAATGTAGGAAATGCTTTGACTTTTACTTTTTGAGAACTTTACATCATAGGTTTGTTGTTGGACAACGCTGACTTGTGTGAAAACACTGAGAATTGGGGTTTGAGTTTTGTGTGAATAGATGTTTTCATCATTTTCTGTGGGTTGATTAACATTTAGTATGTTTATTTATAGTGAACATGTTAAAATAGCTACTAGTAAATAACAATAATGAGATGATTACAGCAAGATTTTGTAAAAAAAAGGTATTTTAGTTTTATATACTAATTATTTGTTTATTTATTGATACAAGTGTCCTTTTTTATTCTAAAAAAAACCAAACAAAAAACAAACTTAGAGAGTGAATTCTACCAAACTTCTACGTCTATAGAATTTGGTATTTTATGTATTTTTTGCGGCAGAACTACTTCAAACAAGTCCTGTTGCAATTTCTATTCCTGTTTTATATTTATCATTAAGTAAAAAAATGTGACTAAATATGTTGGTAGAAACACAATCATGTAGATCTTAAAATTGTTCTTTAAGCATATATATATATATATATATATATACATACATACATAAGGCTAGTTCAATTATCACTGAGAAAAGGAACACGAAAGTTTAAGGAGATTGTTGAATCAAAAGTAATTTAACAATGTGATTTAAGTTTCTGCAAAGCTGGCTTTTCAGAGCGTTTCCTAATATTAAACAACAAAGATCTTGTCATTTTTGAATCACTGAATATTCCAGAATTGTTAATAAAAACCCACTCGCAGCAAATTTGTGCTAATTAAAAACTAAAGTGAGCTGAGATCCCCCAGTTTCAGCCAATAGAAGTTAGTTGTGTGAAGACAATTTGTGAGTGGGTTGGCTTATCGTTTTTTTCATTCTGTAAAGACTGTCCTTCCCTAAAATTACGTGCAGTCCATGATTGTAACAGTTAAAGGACAGAATCCGATGGACGTAGGCAACAATCCTCATTTACAAAACAATGGATGATTTGGAAACTGAACCCACTTGCAAATCACCTAAAGGGCCCAACGAGAAGATGAAGGTAGAGGGGGGGAAAAAAAAACTATAAATAATGTGCCAGCTCCGTTCAATAAGGTTGTGACACATGCTATCATTGTTAAATCAGATTCTACAGTGGATTAGGAAGAAATAATAATTCCAGCAATCCAGCCCATGCATTTACCTAACTCACGTGTGATTATTTACAATTTGGCACTACAATCCCAAACATAAAATAAGACTGCATCTGTCTGACTTGTGGGTTCATGTCGGCCGTACTTATCATGCCCATATATATATATTTGTTTTTGTTATTTTTGTTTTTGTTATTTGTATTTGTTATTTTAAAAACTAATTGTGTCTTGCATTTTATCATTGTTGAAACAAAAAAAACACATGTATGTAGATATTTTCACACACACACACAATTTGTATGTGTCATTCAAATACTTCTTCGTATTTTTGTGGCAAGCACAATGCAATTCGTGCTGGAAGTAGTAAAGTGTAGATTTTGCAACAAAACAGTTGTGTTGACACCAACTGATAGATTGCAATGATTAACACTGCTATTGAAACATATAAAATTATGAGTAGAAAAATATACTGAACAATACAAATAACACAAGCATATTGAAACTACTCTATTCACTCAACAACACAGATCGTCATCATCAAAATAAATTTTAAGTAGTAGAAGCATGTTTTATGTTTATGCTGTGCTAGATTAACCACAAGATGATTTTATTTATTTATTTATTTTTCATTGGATGCAAAAATAGGTGTAAACATCCTGAATACATAAATATTTAGAAAACTGTTGTATATGAATATTTGAATTTTTTAAAACAAAATAATGCACAGAAATTTCAAAAGCATGACAGAATAATTTCAATCAACTTTATTTTCTAAATACAATTCAAAACTGATGGAATTAATACCAAAAAATTACAATATCAATCTTATTAACATGGTGTTGTTTTTTTTTAAATTTTATTATATATATATATATATATATATATATATATATTTTGTTTTTCTTAAACTCTTAGTTGCAATCCTATAAATTTAGTTTTAATCTTCTACCAACTTGCCATTCTGATTTCTAGAAGTTAAAAACAATTATTTAAGTAATGTTGTGAAACAGAATAATCAATATTTCATTGAAAATAAAATAAGACTTGTTCTTCAGTATATTGTTTTTTACTCTCTAAAGTATATTGAAAAATAATTCGAATGCCTTTTAAAAAAGTTAAAACATTTTGATGTGTTTAATTATTCAGTAACCATGAATTTATTGTATATTAATATCCATCAGTAACTTGCTTTATCATATCATTCATGTAACAAAGTGGAGCACCCAATTCCAATAAGTAGTTGTGTGTATAGAACATATTCTTTAATTTGGTAAGAATCTAAATAATACCACAGAGTATATTATATGATTTTGTGATATAACTATGGCATTTGAACTGTTTCAATGTTGTAGCTAATACCTTTTTGAAAACAATTTTCAGTATTCAAAATCAACATACTTAATCGAAAGATCATGTATATATATATGATAGTATGGCCAAATTACAGAAAACATGATTTGATGCTCTACACAAATTAGTGCCCAAAGGCACTCTTCAAACCGACCACTTCAAGTGAATCAGTGTTGGGTGGCACAGTGTTTGTGGTGGAAAGTGACCCAAATGCAAAGAGAGACTAAATTAGGAAACACAGACGACAGACAATCATTGAATAGGGTGGTGATAAACTGGCTACACTGGGTCACAGTAACTTTTGAACATGTCCCTGCTGAAACCAGGGGAAGATCTGGTATTATTATTCTAGCCTACTTCGTCTTCTCCTTCTTCTCCTTCTCCTTCTTACATTCGCTTTATCAAAAGTGAGAAGGCAACAGCCGAAAGTGCACTCACTTGTCAACCCAGCTTAGAATAGTAATTGGCCATGGGTGAGTAAGTGAGTGTGTGTGTGTGGAGAGCGGAATACTGGCTGCATCCCCATAGCTCGAAAGGACCGGGCGCCGAAGGGGAGCACCGGCCGGGTACGATAGAATGTGGGCACCAGGGATATCGCCAGCCACCCGGGCTCGGCGTCATCACCAGGCGCGAAACTTCCCTTCCCTTCCCGTCCTGCCCGTGCCCGTGCTCGTGCCCCCGCCCCGCCCTGCGGTGTCGCAAATTGCCATCGATGTCCGATTGCCTCGTTTCTCTTTTCTTTGTGCCTGGGCTCTGGCCCTCGTCGCTCCCGTTTCACCTCCCCGCTGCTGCTGATCCGCATTGAATGCTGCTACCACTGGCACTGGATTGCATGCGCAGTGGCGAGTTCGCTGTGCGTGTGGCTTCGGGGACTTGGATTCTCCCACAGCCGCCTTTTCTCGGAGGAAACAAAACGTGCTTTCTCGCCGTGTGGGTTGGAATGCTTAAGAGGAGAATTTTCGGCGCTTTGTGGCCTCACGACGATTTTGTAGGACGTGCTATATTGGAGATGGATGATTTGAAGCCTGGATCTTGTGATGTCGTGGTGTTCATTGCTGAGCGACAGTAAGCGGAGCCTGTTTCGATACGTAGTATTTGAAGTCGTGATGACGGTGTGGATGAGTTCCGTTGAGTGTGGACCGGGGTGGGAGATGCTGAAGTGGTGGATTCTTTTGCAATTGACCTTGGTTGCCAAGGGTGGTTTATGTGCTTTCAGATGTTGAGATGCTGGACTTTGAGGTCGGTTGTTGGAAAGAGCTTTGGCCGAAGCATAGGTTTGGCGGTGAAGCTATCACTCCATCCTCTTGTTTCAGAGCCATTCCCTCATGGACGTAATGCTGATAGCCTGCAACCTTTCCAGATTAGAGCGTTTCTTGGTCCCTCTTCATCTTTAGTAGATGCTGAAGCAGTGCCTTCACTGGCGCATCAAGCTTGGTGACTATCGAAGCTGTGGATCTAATTGTCGGATAGCTATAGTTTTGATAGCAGGGGATTAGTATGGACTGTTTTCAGGTTATTACCGTACCGATTGTGGAGTTAGGGAACTAGCTGTGCTTCTCCAGGAGTACAATCGGCAAGGTAAACAGCACAGGTTGATGCAGGAAAATGCACTTAAAATTCTCTTCTATCTAAGGCGGAGGGTTTACTTGATTTTAGTGTGCACATTTGAGCGAGCGAAGGATTTCAGCGTTTGAAGAATCGAATCCACTACCATGATTCAGGTTTCAAAAGGTGCATGAACCTGCGACTGGTTGGAGGCCTTTCAACTGGGGCGTAAATTTGATTTCGATGTCCAGTTTCCCGATCCTTGGGTCCAGAAGAAAGGCTTGGCTGTAACATACAAGTTGAAAACATTCAAAAATTTCTTCATTCACTCACTTTTTACGGTTGAGGATTAAAACAGTCTTGTCGATATACCACTAAATGAGGCTCCATCATCTTCTACACTTGGACCTTCATCGCTCTGGTGGCATCTGCAATCAGAGTGCGACTGTCTGGCCGTAATGCCAAACCTGCAAGCAATGTTAACGGAAATGAAGTTTTTGTCGTTAGCTATGACGGTGCGAAAAATGTGTACCATGGAGATATTTTTGGCGGCTGCAGTTTCTATCATCGTGGCTTCGATGTAATTCACCGTCGCTCGGAGAAGGAAGCAGCGAACAGGAAGAATTTTCTTTCATCTCAGGTAGTTTGAATGGCATTCGTTCCTTTCGTGACTTCTTCTTGTGTGTATCGATCGATCATTGAATCAATTCACAGTATCGGGAGATAGTATGTGATCGTTTCGAGCTTGGTTATGAATTCTCCTAATCATTTGGTGCTCGGGAGAACCTAGAATACGCGCTTCAGATGAACTCCTTGCCAGTGTCCGGTTCTTTGGATAGAATCCTCGTGTATGCGCAATGCTTTGATCGATAACTTTACGAACTACAAATAGTACCAGGCTTTTGGTTTCTGAACACTTTTCCCAAAATAAGGGTTCGTTTTAATCTGACACTGAAGTACGTAAAAGAAGAGGAGAATAACCTCACTGTAATATCCGCTGATGTAAGGTCGTGTTTGCATTCCTTTTATCCTCGCTTCATGCTTCAGGGTGTGCTATTTTATGAACATTGCGTATCTGATTGTTTGCTGGTACTGCAGACCCAAACGGATGTACAATTCTCTGGTGCGACCTACGCAGAGTAGAACATAGTATGGACTTAGTTTAGAAACGAGATCATTGATTGCTAAAGATCACAGGGCCGTTTACGCATCAAATCGGACTTGAAGTCCATGCCAGCAGTTGTATCCCTTGAGTTGACATATCCAGAGTGAAGCCATGACAGGACTGTTTCAAATTTTTGACCGCTACAGAGCCTTGGCTAGAAGTAAGAATGTTCCAAAGAAAGCAGGTCCAGTCAGTCATGGTGAGAGCTGGCCTTTCGATCAGAAAATTTTGATTTCGAATTTCCATTATCTGGCTTGCCTTCTCTTTTGCTGCCAGTGCAGTACCTTGGAGAAATGTCAAATTGCTATTGGAATTAATTATGATTGCTGTTGCTCAGGTCAAGCGCAACCAGGAGGTGAGCGTGACCCTAGCTGTATCAATCTTGCATATCACATGGTATGTTTCTTAACAATGTCATTATTATCATTATTGTATGGAATACGTCATTATTTTGATACGAGTTTGTTGATATGGGACGTAACTTATAGAACACAGGCCAATAGTCTTAGCATGCCCTCTACGAATGTATCGTAGATTGTGGCGTTGTAGACGGGCCAACATGCATGCCGCATCATTGTGCTCGGGGGCTTTCACAACTCGAATTGCACCCAACCCATGTTCACCTGAATGGATGATCGTATGTTCAAATCTGTTTACCTTTCGCATTCTGATCCGAGAGCGACAGTTTATTACGGAGGACATTCAGCACCTGTCAATGAAGTGATTGGATATTTTGATTCGCATGGCAGTTCCAAGATGAAACAGGACAAAGAAGAGTTACGCTGGCAGGTAACCATCACTTACCCCAATTGGAAGCGTCTCGAGATCCTCGAAGGTCATCCATTGACAACAGTGAAGTTATAGTGGCAAAGACTCTGGACACCCCCAAGGATATTCAACTTGCATCTGAACCTAAACCCCACCCACCTCGCACTTCATTAGACTCGAGACCCAAACCAAGGCTTTCATTGTACTTAAAGGACGAAGCTTCTGTTAATGATACTTCAGCACCATCATCTGCTAAGGATATATCCGTTTCTATTGAAACTCCTGGAGATCCTCTCAGCAGGGTACATTATCCGAGGTCTCATTCAACAGCAGCAACTCCCAGATCGTCGGTTGATGGTAAAGTGACAGGGAATGATGACAGGGAGAGGAAATTCAGAGACCTCAAGGGCATGCTTAAAGGGCCATTCAAGAGAAAAGTAACCAAGGTGAATAACCAGGAATCTCCTGGAACTTCGTTTGATTCGAAAGAATCGGATCAGGTTAAAACTGTACGAGAATTGCAGCCAGAGAACAAGGAGGATTTGAACGGTTTGCCTAAGTCCGGTCAAATTGCTCCGGGAGGGAATGAGTATAAAGATTGTGGCATATTTCCAGGGATCCATACTGGATGGTTTGAAGGTAGAGAGGCTTCTACACCTCGATTGACTGTGGAACTGAAAGATGGTCCAAAACTAACCCGAAAAGATGATCAGCGTGTGCTCAATGATGATAGGCTCAGGGTTTCTGAACAGAAAGGTTCTTCCGTATCCCTCAGATTCGAAGAAGCCCCCGATGTCGAAGGTTCTAAAGACTTGCGGAAGATGGGTTTGGGTCGGAATTCCATTGATGGCAGAGAGTCGTCTAGACCTCCGTTTGATGGTAAAACAGTGGGATCAAGACTATCTGTTGATGGGTCTCGTGGCTCTCATCAGCCTTCAGGTATGCCTCGTTTGTCATTGATATCTGTCGTCGGTAGAGAAGCCCATGGTCAAGTAACCGCAAACAATTGGTTTGCGCAAAATATCCACACGTCTTTGGAGGCATCTACACCCGTCTTTCGTAGAGAAGAGAACGCTTGGTGTGATTCACCTGGAAGATGGATTGCTAGTACCTGGGATGGCGACTTTGACGATTCCAAGTGGAAGGCATCAAGTGTGGTTGCTAGGTTGATGGGCCTTGAAGATCTGCCAAACTTTGATGTGGTGAGCAATGCCGAATCAGCGACAGAAATGTCTCCCGAGGAGCAGTGCTCCTCACCTCAAACAGGGCCCTATTATATGGAACCCGACGAATCGCCAAGTCGAGATGATGAAGACTCTTATCAGGTCTTCGGTACCGATGAGGTTGTTACTCCTCTTAGGAAGGATACGCCTAGTAAATTCATGCCTGGTGTCCCCTTAGTGCTGCCAGCACGGCAGCTAGCTATATCAGTATCAACCGCCCCTAGGTTGCAGCTTGGATATTGCAAGTCACCTGACAGCAGAGGTCAGCAAACTCCTGCTTCTCCGAAATACTCAGCTGTATCACCAAAGCACCACATGATTGAAAGTCTGCCTCAAGTTCTTAAGCATCAAGTTGAGCTAAAAATTTCCAGTGAAGGATTACTGTACAGCGACATGGATCAACGCTTGCGGCAACTGGGTCTCAAAAACACTATCCAGGAGCGTAAAACTCTGAAGCAGATTTTGGAAGCCATGCATCAGAAAGGTCTCTTACAGCCTCCCCCTCACGTGAACCCTGAGTGGAAGCGCAATCTTCCAAGACATAGTTCAAACAGTGGTGCTGCAAAATCTTCATTTCTCAACAGAAAGGATCGTTCTTCATCTCAAGCCCTTGATTCTTTCAACGACGACCTTTTCGGGTTGGATTACAAAGACATTCCAATGTACGTATCCGCTAAAATGGCCAAAGGTCCGGCAGAAGGTGGTCATGTCTCTGACAGTTGTAAGTCCCCCTTGAGGGGTAGGACTGGTGAGGCTTCGATAGTGGTGATGAAGCCTCTGAATTCAAATTCTGCCTCCAAGCTCATTCTTGCAAAACCTTCTCTAGAGGTGGATCTAGAAAAGGAACAAGAAACAGTTATCGCACGTGTGACAAATGCACCCACATCGTTGTCTACATTAGCTACTCCAGTTGCCACCCTTACAAAGGATGGTAGTTCAGTCATGAACATCAGGTGCTTTTCCAATCGTCAATACCATTATGAATGGACTTCTGAGTTTTCAGAGAGCTTTTCTTGTTCACGACTTTCTTGGTTTTTTTCAAGGATGTCCGAGTCTGCCAATAGATCCCGAATTTATTCTTTGTTAGTGTGAAGCAAGTATTCTGTGTTGGTTGTCATATTCTTTAAGAACAGTTTTATTTATTTATTTATTTAATTTTTTTGGTTGTTTTTGCATTTTTCCGAGTTGGAGTTACATTAAGTAAGGTGTTACATTGAATAAATCTGCAGAAAAGTTTCTTTGTTACATTGATGTAACAGTTTGCTTATTTGTTCAGATAGTTGTTGCTCGACACAAGTGTAGATTCTGCCGTACAACTCGTAAGCATTTTTCTAAACATGAATGTTTATTTTTCTTGCAGACACTCTTCCAAAAATGAGACATCTGCTGCTTCCAGAAAATTAAAGCTGAGCTCTAAATCAGATGACTCGAGGAGTCAAAGTGCTATGGAAGAGGTTTCAATCTCTGTGAAGCATCGGAGAGAACGCATTGCTGCTCAAACTGCAAAATTCAAATCCGAGAGTGGAGATCTTCAGCAGCATGACAGCCCCAAGTCGACAAGATCTTTATCCCCTAGTGGTAGGAAGTCTGCTAAGACGGGTTCTTCAATTCGAAGCGCATTCGGCTCTAGTTTAAGTCAATCAGGTAAAGCTAAGTCTCGAGCAAGACCTGTAGAAAAAAAGGATGTTAAAAGTACCACCCAGACAACAAGGAGGGCCAAGCATAGTCAGGAACAGTTGAAAGAGGGTTCTACAACTAAGCAAGAGCATCGAAGGGCACCCAGACGCATCACATCAGATCGGAAATGGGTTGCGGGTAATAATACCGAAAACATTCCAGCATTAGAGCAATTTCGCAATTCCAAGAGTGCAGGAGAAGTTGCAGTACTTCGTAGTAAGAGGACTGAGACCGGCGGTTCCAATGATCAATTCAGTTCAGCAACGCCTGCTGATGTGGATACGAAAGGACGCAGAGTAATGAACTTTGATAAATACCAGCTTGCACAGCTTTGCAGTGAATTTGTGGAGTCAACAGCTGATTCTTGTAGCGAAAGCCAAGATATTACGTTGGAGAGGTCACTGAATGGATCGCCCATTAATGTTACGTCACCTACTTTAACAGTTTTTGAAAGCCGTAGACTAAGTAGTAGAAGACATAGCTTAGAAAAGCTTCCGGATGACTTCTATGATGCGAAAGAAAGATATGAATCCAAATTGGAAGACTCCGAGCTGGAGACATACAGTGATGTGGCGCTTTACACAGATCTGGACAGCTCCGATGTGCCGATGAGTCGGGAAGCTCAAATACAAGAGGTAAGAAGCACACTAGTTTTTGCTGTATGTTTTCCTTCATTTTTTTTCGATTTGTTATCTCTTGATTGTACAATTTCAGCACGCAGGTGCTGCTTCCGAGGCAGTGCAATTTAAATTAACCTTCAGAATAAGATTTGAATCTATCGTTCAATAACTTCGGCTGTCTTCGTTGGACATTTTTGATATAATTGTTGACGCATGGCCTGACGCTTGCAATATCCACAATTTTCCCACAGCCTGAATCAAGTGCATTGGACTCTTTGGAACCATCATCACCTGGTTTTCAGGAGTGGAGAGAGGGTCGTGAGGGTGGAAATGGGCAGATGGCTAAATACATTGAGCAACCAAGCCCCATTTCCGTTCTGAAAAACATAAATTTTCAGAAAGAAGAATTTACGCCAAGTCCAAAATTTGAGAAATCGGGTTTTATTAGCGCTCGAGGTAATATTCTGTAATGAACATGATGTAAATGCTATATGGGGTTCGGCTTGTTTAGTAGTACCTTAGCATGGGTCTGACATTCTATAAGCGCAATGGTTTCCTATCATGCTTGAATTACGTTAGAAATCTTGGTTCAGATACGCGAACACTACTGCTATTGATTGTTAAGCTACTCTTATGCAGATTGCTGTGCGTTCGAGTCAGGAGAGGAGCAGGAGGACTTGAAGAAACCAATATGGCAACCCACGGATCTATCCACCCCAGCACACCAAATACCAGTATTCTCGGGTGATCCTTTGAAGGATTTGATGCATAAAGTTGCTCGGTCACTTAATCTTGATGATCAGAACTCGTTTCTTAACAAACCTACCCTAGAGATTCAGGTGCCCTATGTCTCTGACCTATTTTCACCTTCATCTCTGAACTCTGTCCCCCCATCATTCTTTTCAAAAGAAGATGAGAAGGCATATGTGAAACATATAATGGTGGCGTCTGGAGTTACGGAGGAATGTACCGCTCCAAAAGAGTGGTCTAAATACGGGTCTCTGATGAAGGCAGACTTATTTGACCAACTTGAAGAGCATCTTGAGCTTAGAGAGTCTGCTCGTAAGCAGAACGCCTATCTGTCAGGAGAAGAGAGAACGGAATATCTCAAGCAAGCTCTTGATAGGCGCCTCCTTTTCGACTGTGTTAATAGCATATTGGAGAGGAAATGGCATTCATACTTCCACCCCCATCCGTGGGGTGCACAAACTTTTCGTAAGAAACCTATCGGAGTGAAACTTGTGGAAGAGATTTGGGAGGAATTGGAATCGCTTCGTTCCTGTGCTTTGGATGATGACTCTTTATACGGCATTCTACAGATGGATTTTACCCAGCGAGCTGAAAAGTGGGTGGATTTTTCATTAGAAGTTGGAGAGATTAGTACAGAAATACAGGAAATGATATTAGATGAATTGGTGAATGCAGCTGTGCAGGAATGGTCTGACGAAAGCAAATTCCATTAGTCACTACCAGTAGCAATATAGTTGCATGTGCCCTTTCAAGCCCTACCGGCTTGGGTTGTAATATATGAACAAAGATTAGGTTGATAGATGATGCTTAAATTCAGATAATTGTGATATGTTCACTATGTTTTTACCAATGTGACGATCCATTGAATTTCTTGCGTCCCTTCGAAGACTTCAGTCTTTATATTCAACAAGACTTAGGGATTACGCATTCTTAGTTACTGTGAAACAACCTTACAGAACTCTTGCATTACAGAAACTACATTTGTACTTGTGAGGACAGGGATTCTCTCTTGTGACACTTCAAACTCTGGTCTAAGCTCACTGTGCGGTCACAGGCAGGACGCTTTCCAAACAACGTGCTAGGTCAAAGCTTGTAACTTATGCAAATTGTAAACCCTCAGTCTGTGCTGATCACTGAGTTCTGATTTTACGTGGTCTGCTAGATATCTTTGTCTAATCACTTTCATTGTACACAACTTCTACAGGAATAACTCTAAGTAGTGACTCTCTTTCATATTTTATGTAATAATTTTACTTACAAAGGTTTTCAATGAATGTCCCATTATCACATCTAAATAAAATACATAAAAAATTCTATTTCAATCTAACATTCCAATAATTTATGAATGTCAATTTAATTTTTAGAGTAAATAGCCATTTTTTTTTTTTTTTTTCTTTTTATAATTATTATTGATGTGCAACGGATTTGCAATCAATATACTTTTCACATTGACCCTCAAAAGGCAAATGAAAGGAAAACAAACGTGTGTAAAATGAACATTTTATTTAAAACTCTAAAAGACATGTACTACATTTTATCTACCTATATGCTTCCAAAACTATCAACTTATCAAGGATTATTTTTAATTATTTTTAATTTCTTAACAGTTAAAATATTTTCTATTTATTCTTTAAAGAATAAATAAACAATCATGGGATTGTGTAAGCTACACATGTATAATATAAACAGAAGTGTAAATATTTGATATATATATATATATATATATATATTTGCCTATGTTAGGATAAATATAGTGTACAAGTTAAATACTATTAAATATACATGTATTAAATGAGTGTGAATCTTTAGTACATTATTTTCTTCTATAAAAAGTAAAATTACTATAAATAATTAGAATATATATATATTCTAATTATTACATATATATATATATATATATATATATATATGTAAATATTTTAAAATTCTTTTCATATGAAATTAGAAAATTTTAAAATATTTATATATATATATATATATATATAATCATAGATTACAATCTATTGTTAAATAAGATTTTTTGGCAATAATTTAATTTTAAAATAATAAGAACTTTTAATTTTATATATGTGTTATTAAATCCTACAATTTACAATCTGTGATTATTGATTTTTAATACACAATAATCACAGATTGTAACTTATAGATTGTAGTAATTAGATCAAATTCTGTACTTGTAGCATTGATTGCAACAAAGGTTGTTGCAAATCTTCTAGCACCTCCTATTAAAGACATAGATAGTGTGTATAATTAATTAAATAAATAATAATTGTATTAAACCATATTTTTGGATTTTGTTGATAATAATATTATTGTATATTCACAATTATATCAAATTTCTAATCAAACATAGGTTAAATCAGCAAAATTTATTGAAGCATGTGATTTTGTCACTAAAATTATGAAAATTATATACAATGATTAATTATATATATAATAAGAGTATTTAATTAATTTATTATAATTTTATATCCTAATTGAAGAAAATTTTGATTGTATAAGTTTATATTGTAAGAATTATATATAAAAAATAAATCAAAATAAAATAATAAAAATAAATAAAAGTATTGAATATCTTTTTGAAAATTTTAATATTTTTATGCCAAATAATGCCTACAATATGAAATAAGAATAACATGTATTTTAAAGCAAACTATAGTTGCTAAAAGAAAAAAAATCTGACAATATTATGAATAGTATTTACAATTCTTTTCTTTTGAAAACTATCAATAATATATATATATATATATATATATATATATATATATATATTTTTATATTATATTATATTATATTATATATATTAGAAAAAGTTATTAAAAAAAAATTATCTTTATATAAAAGTCTAAAAATTCTAAATCCAAGAATAAAATGCCTTATTAATAGATATGTAATAGAATCTTAAAATTTCTTATATAAAAATATTTAAATTTCAGATCTATATTTTATTTTTTTTAAAAATAGAAATAAATTAACTTCTTGTGCTATTAAAGTTTTTTTTTCTTGAATACAATGAAAAAACCAATATATACAATTTCATTCAATTTCTAAAGCAAGTCCATTATTAAATATTTTGTTGTAAGAATAATATGTTTAACCACACCTTTTGTCAAAGGCATGAATTACAAAGTACCAAAGATTCAATACACTCTTGTATTATTAAAAAAGAATAGATAATCATTCAAATTTTGTATAATAATAAACAATAATGGCTATTGTCAAAGACAAGAAAACTATAGGCTCTTGGAATAAAACTAATGACAAAAAAAGTATTGACTTAAGTGAAGAAGGCTTCAATCTTATCTCCACATATACTATCTAACTATGAAGTATATGGCGACATTCTAAAGAACCTACAACACTTGTTCAACTTATGGAGACACATGTCTAATTTACAAGACAAGTTTTGTACATGTGTACCACATGGCCTACTTATACTAGAAGTTGCCAACATTTGCAACACATGACCAACTTATTGGCTAAGTTTCTAATCTACCAATTACCTACAAATAAGTGAAATTTGCATCTAAAATGCTTTTAAAGTACTATTCTATAAGATATTATCAAATCTATCTTGTTGTACTTATTACCTATTTCTTATTATCGAAGTAATTATATATCCATGAAATTACTCTCTATTTTTGAAACAAGTATCAAAAAGAAGAGTTATCACACTCTGATTTTTTATTTTAGTTTTGATGGATGTCTTTGATAGAAAAAATTAACCTTCTTCGCTATATTTATAAGGTTTTAAACTAGCTTTTGTGTGCATTTACTACAATCATATTCATGCCAATGTAAAAAATATTCGAATCTATTTCTACATTGTCTTAAATCTAAGACTTCTTCTATCTCAAATTCTTCATTATTGTTCATTTTTATAGGAGGTGGTGGTATTTATCTTCTTTCTAAAATATTCATAGTCTTCTATGGCTTAAAAAGAGATACATAGAATATGTCATAAATCATCATAGATTTTGGTAGTTGTAATTGATGAATAACTTGATTGAATTTTTTGCAAATAGGAAATGGTCAAAGTCTACAGTAATACAATTTGTCATAAGGACAATTAATCATAATATTACAAAAAATATCTATATCTTACAACTAATATAGAATTGTAGTTGTTTTTTGCATAAGGCATCTACATTGAACTTTTGTCATTCTTGAACTTTCTTTAATTATGCCTTCATTATTATATGTGCCATTAATAAACCATATGCCAAATCTTTTTTTGCAATATTATCAACTTTAAAAAAGTTAAAAATATCAAATTATTAATGATAATTATAAATAAAAAATAAATTTATTGAATAGAAGAACATATCATGTTATTGTAGGAAAATTTTGCCAATTGTAAAAGAATTGTCTAACCATTTTGATGGTAATTGATAGTATGTCTAAAATATAATTCTAAATCGTGATTCATTCTTATGTTTGTCCATCAATTTGAATATAAAAAATCAAAATAGTTTTATGTCTACCTTCAATTTTTTAAAAAGAGTTCTTTAAAGCTTTGATACAAATTGAGTCCTTCAATCTAACAATATCTCATAATAATCCATGATAGGAATAAATATTGTCAAGAAAAAATTTAACTCTTTCTTCAATTGAGATATTTTTTATACATAGTATAAAATTTGTGATCTTAGTAAAATAATCTAATATTGTAAATATAGACTCAGAAAAACTTGAAATTAAAAAATCTATGATTAAATCCATAGAAACAAAAGACCACAATTATTTTGATATATATATATATATATATATATATAATGGCTGAGAAAATCTATAAAATCAATGATGATAAGTTTTTGATTTTCAATAAATATCACATGATTTTATAAAGTTTTTAATTGCCTTATACATTTAAAGCCACCAAATATCTCTTAATATTAACTCAAAGGTCTTATTGTATCTAAAATATCCTAGAGTTAGAAAATTGTAATGAGCTTATAAAACATGTAGTTGTGCTTCACTTTTTGAAATATTTAAGAAACCACAAAAATAGAGTATTTTATTTTTTAATACGAATTTAGAAATATTATAAAATTAAAAATAATATATTATAAATAAGAAGATTTAAAGACATGCTTAATTAATTAAAAAATAATAATAAATTAATAGTTAATGTTTATTTCATTGCTTAAAGATGAAATTGATTTAATTTTGAAATATTTTTTTTTAATTAAAGAATATATTTCTTTCACTTTATTAAAGATAGAATTATCTTAAAATAGCATATATTAAACTTTATTATTATTTTAATTAGTAGATATTCTTGAATTTAAATCTTGACAAAGACATGATCTAATGGATTTGATAATAATTCAAAACATGTATTGACATAAAATAATTGATTTTCTTGTGGTTTATATAAATAGAAATCAGACTAAAAGTACCTTCTAAATTATAGTATTATTTGAGAAATAAATGCACAATTACAAGAAGCTCTTTGTCTTAGATCTTATAGTTGATCTTTATTATTGAAATTATTTTTGAATAAAAAATTATAAAATAAAGTTTATGATTTACTTTTGTTTGTAATTAAATTACATTCAAAGAAAATTCCAATATATTTTTTTCTATAAAAAATTATTATAAAAAATTCAACACAATATAAGATTGATAGAAAAATAAAAATTATCTTGAAAGCTTTAAATTCTACTTTAACTTCTTCATTCTATTCAAGATTGGCTTTATAAGTCAAATGTGTAAACAAAGGTGTGATTTTAGAATATTTTTTTACAAAAATTTAATAGTTATAAGTAAATTCTAAAAAATATTGAATATTTTTTAAATTATTTTTGAAATATTTTAATCTATGATAATTTAAATTTTCTTAGGATCCATTATAAAATCATCATTTAAAATGATGTATCTTAAGAAATCAACCTGAGTTGTATAAAATATGCACTTTTTTTTTAACTTGATGTGTTGTCTTATATCTCTAAATTTTTGTAATAAAAAATAAATATAAATTTCATATTTTTTTATATTTTTAGAATAGATTAAAATATTATCTAATAATAAAAAGGTATCTAAAAAATCTTAAAAAAATCATTTATTAGATGTTGAAAAGCATTTGGTACATTTATGAGTCCAAAAGGATGATATTATTCAGGTTGAAAATATAAACTGTATTTCCAAAAGGATGATAAAATTAAGGTTATAAAAAAATTAATTTATTTAATAATTATATATTTTTAGTTATAATAAATTTAAAATAACTAAATTAGAAGAAGATCTAATAACATTAATTGTAAAAAAGCTATTTCAATCTTTAGTTTTTAAATCTAAAGAAAATATTTTATAGATATCATCTCTTAAAGATAATAAATGATCATCTATGACTTCTACATGTATGTGCTTAGTTTTCTTGTTTTTCAACAAAGTCTTTATCTATAAAACAAGTTGAGACTCTTCAATTTAACAAGACAAAGGCATTTTAATTTTTTGGTTCTAAACAAACATCTATTTTAAAATAAGATGAAGGATCCGAGGAGAAAATATGATCTTTATAAGATGTTGTTTAAGATTTTAGTCACATAATTTCTATTGTAGTGTGATAAACGTTTTTTTCAATACATTATCATCTTTGGCAATCATACTCCTCAAATTTTAGTTGTGTTGCTACTTTGGACAATGTTGAGTATTATACTTAAATTCTCTACAATATAAATACACTTTTTTTTTTTTTATAATGTCATGTCTTTTCTTCATCAATGAGAAGGTTTAAAATATATTATATCAATTTACATAGGTTTTGGCTTAGTTAAATAAGTTTTTGAAAATCCAAAAAATGTGGTCAGGACTTTACTTATTCATCTCTAACTATTTTTTTTTAAAACAAAAGTTTATTTTTTAATCCTTATTGAAATTTATTGATAAAGGCTTTATCATTAAAATCCACAACATGAGCAAGGATTTGGAATTCATTAGCATGTATGGTGGCTAATTATGATTTTTGTTGTAAAAATAGGAATTTTGTCTCTATTACCTTTTAAAAATTATTTTCTATAAATGAAGCCATAAATATTTTAAAGAATGAATTTAAATCATATAAAAGTTGTAAATCATTTTTTTCTCAAAGGTGCAAACTAGAAGACAACACTTCTAAATAGAAGTGCATCTATGAATCCAATCTCAGTAAATCCATCATGATATTGTAAAAAGATGCAATCTAAGATAAAGTTTGACTTATTATAGTGTTGTATTGTAATATGGCTATTAGATAAAAGAAAAAGTGAAGGATTATATTATAGAAGAACTTAATTAAAAATACTATAATCATTTATCTTAAAGTATAAATAATAGTTAAGGAGGTAATAAAACTAATAAGTGCTAATAGTGCCTCTTATCAAAATGAACTTCTATTTACTTTATATGGCCATAAATAAAACAAAACAAAGTAAATAAGAAACATAACTAATATAGATATGTTTAAAAAGAAATTAAGAATAATTTGTAGAAAAAATTATCTTTGTAGTGTAGAATTCTATTTGTATTCTTTGAATATTTAGATCTAGTTTAAGCATAATTTTTACAAACTTCTTAAAAAATTTATTTAAAATAAGATCCGTGTTTATTAATCTATTTTTTTTTAACTCTAATCTTTTTTCTTTCAATCTTTCGTTCTTAATATGAAACTAAAATATTCTCGTGAAATTTTAATTTATTCTAAAATAAAATGCTGCATAAATATGATAAAAAATTGATACAATTCTTTTTCAAAATTTTCTTTTAATTTTTTTTAATTTTTTTTAAATACCTTTATATTCTATTTATAATATTGTATGGCTTTTTAATTTTTTTATGAAAAAGAAGCATTGTCATTTCTATCTACTATGTATTGTATTATTAATTTCATTATATTCCTTTCTTAGAACTTTAAGTTTAATTAATAGCTAGCTAAAGGTTATAAGAAAAGAGTGTCTTGAATGAATAAGTTCATTAGAAGATGATCAAAGAAGGTGATTATTTTTAATACAATATTCTAAAGTATTTTCAATATAAATAAATCTTGAGATTTCTTAGGCAATGTAATATATATATATATAAATCTTTTTTTATTATTTCATAAAAAATTAAATTAGATTTTGTGAAATGATCCTATGAGTCAAAATGGCATTTAAAATTATCCTTAGAATTTCGTTTCAAAAACAATATTGTCTAATTTTAGAAAGAATATTTATAATTTGGATTTTCTATTATATTTCAATTGCCTCCTATAATACAACCATTATTATTTTGAAAATATTATTGAATAATTTTTTATAAAATATATCTTTTAAAATATATATATATATATATATATATATATATATATATATATATTAAAATAGATCTGTTAAAATAGAATATTTTTAATAGAAGTATTTTCAAGAATTTTCCATAGCACCATGTTATCAAAAAGAGAATCTATTAAAGAAGCTATGCACTTGAAAAAATAATGGATTATTATATATATCCTTCTTTTGCTACTTCCATCTTTTTCTTGTATGTATTTAAAGAGAACTTTAAAATATAATAATTCTCTTCTTTATATAATTTTTGACTAAATTCTTTGGTATTGATGCCATTTAGTTTGTATTCTAGAAAAAATAAAGCATAATATGGAGATTGTGGATCTTTCATATATATATTTTTTGAGCCCTCTTATATTAAAAAAATCAATTTAAAATAAAATTTCTAAAAAAAGAATAAATTTTACTTTATATACAATAAAAAAAAATTAGTGTATGAATTGAAATCAATGCTCTAATGTTGATGAAGGGAGCCTCTTGGAATAAGTTTTTATAAGCTCTATAACACCAAAAATATTTATTATACTAAAAACTATGATCTATACTATAATTCTTTTCATAAGAATTATAATAGAAAGGTGCAACTTGAAATAACAAGAATCCAACATTTAATAAGACCTTTACAAGAGGTGAATTTGAAACCTATTTCCTTGTGAAGTTTAACTTGCACTTTTCTAAAGAATTGAAGTATTTGACATTTTTGCTTAAGAGTTGAAAGAAGAACCTCATAAAGTTATGTATTATAAGAGATAATTGAAAGATGGGTAGAATTTTATTATTTATAGATTTTATAAATTAAATAATTTAGTCAAATAGTAGATGTTTTTATTGATGTTGCATTTGTAATAAGTTGGAGTTCATCCTGTGTTCTAAAGAAGTATAATTATGTAGTGAGGATCTACAAATATTTGTTATAAGTCTTGATATTGAACATGAAGTTGCTAAAGAGAGGCATGGATGAAAAAAACAATGTATTGTTGATCTTGTTATTAATTGGAGAAGTATAAGATGAAACTAATATTGATTTGTATTATAGTTTCTAACTTATGGTGCTAAAAGATATAAGTAAAAAATATCCTAGATTATTGGCATAGAAACTTGTTTTTGGTATAAGTGATGTTGAAGATTAATTTAATAATTTCAAATCTATTAGAATACTAATTTTGATTTTTTTAGTTATCTTAATTATAAAAAAGAAATTAGGCAAGGTCCAACCTCATTTTTAGAGGGTGCTCCATACTGCTTTGTAATTTTACAAATTATTGCTTAAAAATTGAATCTACAAATTTATTATCTATAAAACCAATAATTATTATAAATTATTTTAAATATTTTATTTCTTCTTTGATAACCTCTTTATTAAATTTATAAATGTGGTCAAAGTTACAAAATAACAAACCTCTAAAGATTTGAAAAAAATTAAAGAATACGTTTTTATTAAAATTGCAACTATAGGAATCCATGTTGAGGTCATTATGTTATGACATCTTGACTAAGTTATATCTTACATCTTTGATGTCATATATATGGTCATCTTTATAGATTTTTTGTACCTTTCTATTACTTTATTAGCACAAGAGACAACTTTTGTACATAAAATGATAATTATACAAGACAACATTATATTAATAAATTTAGAAACTTTGGTGCATTGGATGTAGCAAGTAGTATTGAGTGTTCAATAAATACTTCTATTAACTAATATAATTATATATAAAAAAACTTACAAAAACCTTATTAATTCACTAATATCATTGAATTTTTTTTTGTAGAAATCTGAGTGACTAAAAACCCTAATTTTTATCAAAATTAAATTTGTCTCATTTTTTGAGCCCAATGACTTCAATGATAAATTCCTAAAAATTTCCAACCAAAAAAACGTAGCTTAAAAAAGTAATCTAAGGTGATGAGAGTGCACATATAGAGAATTGTATTAAATCCTAAATTATGACAGCCATAGGTATTGGACCTCCATTCTACCTCCACCAAGTTGACCTTAAACATCTACCATCAATTCCAACTAGAATTTCCCCAAACTTTTTTTTTTTTTCCCCAAGCATTCTCTGAGTTTGGCACCTTACGTATAGTCTCTGTGAATGTATAGATTTTTTGTCGCACGGTTAGTGGAATCAAATAGTTCCGAGCTGTTTAAGATATTTTTCTAAGGTTTATTCGAGTTGAATGTTCAAATAATCATGTCCTGATCTCTATCAGGGTTGACGTCATTTAGGTTAAACTAAATATACCACATGAGACTCCTCAGAGCACCAATCATCTGTATGAGATTCCACATGGTAACACCAAGAGCTTCTGGTATTACTGAATCAATACAATACCATTTCAACATGGTATCAGAGCTATCTCTTGTGGGCCTCTACCTCTCCGAGCATCTCTCGGCATCAGGCCAGACTCAGAAGTCCCAGAGCCAGCCTTGCTCATCACCACCACAATCATTCCACCACCCGAGTCGACATTGCAAGATCCACTACATGTAATAGTCTACCCTCACTCATCCTTTCATTGCACCATGGCCAGCAATGCTAATCTTATCCCTGCTGAGCATAGACTCATAGGAGAAGAAAACTACAACATCTGGAGCTTTATCATAGAGTAGGTCCTGAGGAGGAAGGGCCTGTGGCATTACGTCAAAGAAGAACCACCTCCTGCCGAAAGGCAATCATCGGAAGAGAAGAGCAACCGACAAAATACTCTGGTAATTCTTACCCTTTCCTTGCATCTGAGCTTGTTTACCGAAATAAAATTGGAACAGGATCTCCACTCCCTGTGGAAAATGCTGCAATCACTCATAGTTTCTACTAACCAATTCTGTAAGACCGATCTTCTAAATCGACTATTCAATACATGATTATCTCCGAAGGGCAGCATGAAAGAGTTTCTTCGAAGCATCAAAGACCTGGTTGACAAGCTTACACAAGCCGAAGTGGACTGGACCGATTGCGTAGTAACCCTAGTTCTCAACGCACAACCACAGCAATACTCTAGGTACGTACGGTCGCTCATGACTCAAAAAAGACCTCTCATCCTCCGCGAGCTTGAACCCTTTCTCCTAGGCAAAGAATCTCGCCTCTGCATGGCACAATTTAATTGACACTCCGAGATTGTTCTTGCTATTTGCAGCAACCAATTCTTGCACGGATTCCAATGACGACCTCAACCTCTCTATCATCCTTGTACTCAATTGTCATTCCCATCCACTCAATGGTGAATCGACCCAAGTCATAGGATTATGGTAATCTGGACAGCAAAAATTGACTAATTTTAATCGCCATCGATCGGGTGACAACTGCCATCACTAAGGCGCCCACAACCATTGGACAGGAGAATGTCCGATCTACAAAACTAAACTAGGTTTATATGGAGCAGCCACCAGGGTTTTTACAAACTCTACAAAGCTTTAAGTAAATATGTATGTCCGGAACATTATTCCTTCTTTTAGGAACAAGTTCTACAAAGAGCTGTGATCACATATTCATGGAGTCTAAGATATTACAAATTGTACTGCAATGAAGGATAGAAAATAGAATGCAAACTCCATTGAATATTTTTTGTTTTATAGTAGGGAATTGCTTGATTCTTCATCTTAGTTTTGATAGATGTTGTTGATAAAAAGTTTTAACATTCTCTACTCTATTTATATGATTCTTTGCTAGCTCCCATGTACGTTCATTAATATCGTGTCTATGCCAATGAAGAAGACATTCCAACCTATTTCGACACTGCCTTCAATTTAAGTCTTATTCCACTTTAAACTTTTGATTATTATCTACTTTTATAAAAAGTGATCACATTTATCTTTTTCTTGAGATATTTATTGTCTTATATGGCTCAAGAAAAGACACATGAAATATAAGTTGGATCTTCATAGACTCTAATAGATATAATTGATAAAAAATTAGATTGATTTGTTTATATATTAAAAATTGTCGAAATCTATGATAATCCAATTTGTTACAAAGACAAATAGCCTTAATATTATGACAAAATAAATGTATCTTATTACCAATATAAAATTAAGATTGTTACTTGCAATATGCATCTATGTTGATCTTTTGTCGTTCTTGAGCTTCTTTTATAAGTGTTTTTATTGTTGTATATAGTTGAGATAAATGATTTGTTAAATCTTCAACTGCAAAATTATCAACTTTTGAAAGGTCAAAAGTATCAAGTTATAGATGGTAATCATAATTAACAAAGTAAGATGTTTATTGAGTAGAAGAATGTGCCATATTATTATAAGCAAACTCTACCAATGGCAAAATGATTGTTCAATCATCTTATTGATAGTTAATAGTATACCTCAAATATTGCTTTATATGCTTTATTTTTCCATTAATTTGATGATAGAAAGTCAAAGATAATTTTATGTTTACCTTTAGAATCTTAACAAAAAAATCTAAAATTTTGATACAAATTGAGTCTCCTTATTCAATCTAATATCTTTAAGTAATTTAAGATAGCTATAGATATTATTAAGGAAAAACTTAGCTATTTTTTTTACTTGTGATAGATTTTGTATATGGTGCAAAATATGCCATTTTGGTAAAATGATCTACTATCTCAAGTATAAAGTCATGAGAATTTGAAATTAGAGAATTTGTCATAAAATCCATAGAAACAGAAGATCATAATAATTATAAAATAGATAATGGTTGAAAAAGTTTATAAAGTTGATGACAAGGAATTTTTGATCTTAAGCAAACGTCATATGATTGTACGAAATCTTTGATTATCTTCCACATTCAAAACCATCAAAAAGCTTTAGATATTAATTGCAAAGTCTTATATCCAAAATATCTTATCATTAGAAAATTGTCACAAGCTTAGAAAATATGTATTTGTACTTAATTTTTTAGAACATATAAATGAACGTCAAAATGATATAGATTATTCTTAAATTCAAACTTGGAAGTGTCACAAGATTTTGAAGAATTTTCCTTAATATTACAAATAAGAAGATTAGAAGACATACTTGATTGAACTTGCTTAAAAAAAATTGAATCAACAATTAGTATTGATTTCATTATTCAAAGATGAAATTGCTATGAATTTAAGAAAATTGTCTATTTTTTATCAAAATTTGCACATTCACTCTTTTGGTATAAGATAAGATTGTTTAAAAAGAGCATCTAATAAATCTTATTATTTTTGGCTAAGAAGTGATCTTGAATTCAGATCTTGACAAAGATATGTTCTAATAAGCTTGATAATAATTGAAAATACATACTAACATTAAAAATTCAAGGTTCTTATAATTTGTATATACAATGATTGGACTAAAAGTACCTTCTAGATAATGGTACTATTTTTGAAATAAAGTCATAATTGCAAAAAGTTCTTTGTCATAGATCTTATAATTTATCTTGACTGCTCAATTTTTTTTTGAATGAAAAGCTAGTAGATGAAGTTTATTATCTGCTCCCATTTGTAATAAATAATATCTAAAACAAAGTTCAATGTATCTATTTCTATAAGAAATAACTTGAAAAAATTAATATAATATATCATTGATGCAAAAAAAAAGGTTATTTTCAAATATTTAGATGTTGCTTCTACTTCATGATTCTACTAAAGTTTGTCTTTACAAGTTAAATGTATGAGTAGAGTTACAACTTAAAAAAAGTTCTTGATGAAGATTCAATAGTAATTATCAAATCTCAAAAAACATTGAATATCTCTTATTTTTTTTGAAATCTTCCAATCTATAACAGTTTAAAATTTTTTGGGATCTATTGTGAGTCTATCATTTGAAATGATATATCTTAAGAAGTTAACTTGAGTATTTTGAAATATATATTTTTTTATCTTGGTATTTATTCCTACATCTTTTAATTTTTTAATACACAATAAAAATAAAATTCATATTTTTTGTATTTGTAGAATAGATTAAGTTGTTATTTAGACAATAAATAATATTATTAAAAAAAAATCTCAAATAATAACATTTATTAGATATTGAAAAGCTATTGGTATATTTATGAATCTAAAAGGCATGATATTGTATTTAAAATGTCCATATCTAGTTCGAAACATAGTCTTTTATTTATCTCTTTCTTTTATGCATATTAGATTGTACATTCATTGTAGATCTATTTTTTTTTTTATAGATCTAAGCTTGATTCAATAAATCAAAAAGTTCAAATATCAAAGGTAAAAGGTACATATTCTTGATGGTGATCTTATTAAGTCCTCAATAATTGACACACATTTAAAATGATTTATCTTTTTTCTTTACAAACAAGATTGGAGCTCCTATTAGAGATTTGGAATGGCATATGAAATATTTAGCTAGATTCTTTTGAATATACTTCTTAAATTCAGCCAATTCATTTTGTGATAAACTATAGATTGGTCCAAATGGCAATTGAGTTCTTCCTTGAAGGTCAATTGAGTAATCATAGGGACAATGTTTTGAAAGAATGTTTATATTTTTCTTCTCAAAAACATTTTATAAATCTTGATATTGACTTAAAATGCTACTTGAAGTCTTTTCATCATTAGAAACAGATGTGGTATAAATAACATAAGGTTATTCTTCTTTTACAACATACAAGTAAGCTCTTCCATCTACAAATATAAATTTTGTTGTATTAGAGTTATGACTTTTTATTTAATTAGCAATATTCTTAGTTATATTCTTAAAAAAATCAAGACTATGAAAATCTAATCTATGTAAGGATTATACTTTTTCAGCCATGATATACTAAAAATGATTAGATTAAAAGAAGATTTAACAATATTAAATATTACAAAGCTACTAGAACCATTAATTGTTACTTTTATAATAAATATTTCACAAATAATATGTCTAAAAGATAATGAATGACCATCTATGATTTTTACATGAATAAATTTAGTTTTCTTCACTAATGATATGCTATGTCTTTTAATAATTCTTTTATTTAAAAAACAAGCTAAGGCTCCTAAATCTAATAAGGTAGAGACTTTGTGATGTTTAGATCCTAAACTAACATCTATTATAAAACAAAGAGAGGATTCTAAAGAGAGAATAAGACTTGTACTATGTATTGTACAAGATTCTAGCTACATGATCTTTATTATAATTAAATAAACTTGTTTTATGACATAGTAGCTTCTTTAACAACCATACTCCTCATTTTGTGGTTGCGTTGCTTATTTGAACAATGTTGAAAAGTGTACTTAGATTCTCTACAATATAATGACATGTTTGAAATACATTGCATCAATTTGCATATCTTCTACTTTCAAATGTATGTATTAAAAAGATGTTGATAGTTTTATTAAATCAAAATAATATTGAATCTACTTATATAATTCTTAGATCAAATTTCAAAAAATTGATTGTTATACTTCTCTATAAAGTTAATTGCTTGAATTAATGTTTGAAGGTCATGTAAGTTAATCATCAATTTTTTTATTTCACATTGTAATTTTTAAAAAAATTGGCTAATGAGTGCATCATCATTTTGCTTGATATTAGTTATAAATTATTGAAACTAAGAAAAATATAATGTTACAAATCAATAACCTTGTCATAAAATATAAATTACATTATATTTTTTATATATGAAAAAAAAAAACTTCTAAATTATCTAATATTGAATCACATCATTCAAAAAAAGATGAAAACCATGATAATGCAGAACCTGAACGAAGTGTACCAATAAACTTAACTTGTGATTCTAGAATTAGATAGCTTTAAGATTGAAGTTCAATTGCCACTTATACTTCATTGATGAATCTTCAAAATTTTCATCTTGTGCCATTAAATTTCTTAAACAAGCAAATTTTTGGTTCTCTAATACTTGAAAGATGCTCTACTATAGAAAGAGTAGAATGATTTAGAGTAGATATTGAAGCAGCTTTAATCATCTCTATATCTTCACTATCTACTAATCTTATTGCTTTTTGTGGTCGTAAATTGAGTTGATTCATAGCAAGCATCAACCCCTTCAATTGTTCTTGTCTTTATGCCATTGCACTCTTCATTTTAGCAAGCTCTGCCATGATGATACAATAAAAAAGAAGATGACTAATATCTCTTAAAATAAGTAGAAGAGAGAACTAAGAAATAAAAGAAATTCTAAAAACAATAACAATTTAGAAGTGAATAATTCACAACTTCTAATACACTTATGTCTTATGATAAAAAAAAGGTAATCAATTCTTAATTAAGAAGAGAAAAAATTCTAATATTGTATATATATTCTTTTTAATTTATCAATGATGAGAACTCAATGAAGGCAAATAAACAAGTGAGACTTTTTTCAAAAAAAAGATGAAAAAATAAAAAATAAAAAATAGAATGGCTATTACTAAAAGACAAAAAAACTAGAGATCCTTGAAACTAGACTAGAAGTAAGAAAAGAGTTAACTAGAATGAAGAAGGCTTCACTCTTGCCTCTATATATATTATCTACCTAAGAACTATGTGGCGACATTCTATAAAACTTCTAATACATGTCCAATTTGCAAGACACATATCTTAACTTGTAAGGCAAATTTCCTATATGTATATTACATTGTTAGCTTGTACCACAAGCTACCAATACAAG